GGAAAGGGCTGACCGACAATCTGAAAAAAAAAAATTTGCAACAAAATTGTATCTGTTTACAGATCCCATATGCTTCTTTATCTTCTTGGATAAATCTTACTTTGTCAATGTATTAATATAATTTTATACATTTATTGATTCAAAGATACTTCAATGAATAGCAATTTTCATGTATATAGAGTACGTGTACATTAGTAGATGAAAAAATATACCTTAAAGGTCCCATCTATAAACCAGCGTTTCGCATGACTCAGTACATCAAGTTGTTCCTTCGTAGAGAACACAATATGTCGTTCACGATCTACACGTACATCCGCGATGATAAAGTCTTCACACTTGAGAAAATCTTGATTAATTTATAAAAAGATAATAAATCTTTACACTAATGCAGTATTTATATTACTTAAAAATATTCTTTTCGGCTATTAAAGCAGGTTCGTTATTGTAATTTTGTAAATTGTTATTTCAAGTTTGACAGATTAATTTACCTCAAAGGACAAATCCTTAGGTTCCTTAGGACGTAGTCTGGACCTATTTCTATTTGCCACACGCTTTAATAACCGTTTCTTTGGGAAGTTGGCTGTTGAAGATTGTTCACTCACTACTGCATCAACTACCTCCATCCCCGCAACAGTCAATCTTTCTTGCGCTGTGGTACGAACCTATAAATGATAGCAGAATACATACCAATAATATATATATATGATACTGATGAAAATTAATGTAGATTTATAATCAATTTTATAAATAATATGAAAATGTCTATTTAATATGATTCTCCTTGTAGATTTTAATCAATAAATAATAAGAAATTGTATAAATGATTTAGATTTTAATAACGATGTTTTTTTCAATTTATGAATATATATTATTTTATAAGCATTAAGGTAAACATTTAAGTACTCACATCTCTGTAAACAGTCGTCTTTGTAACCCGATTTGGAATAAAACTGTGAACGTGACTGTTTCTACCATGCGTGAAGTCATTCCCCTTCTGCACAACAGTTGCTGGACAATGGGCACCTTTCAGTCGATTTGTGCATCTCCAAAGAACTGACGTCTTGTTGGTCCGCTATTAAAAAAAGACACGTTAACAGAGTTATACATGATATGTACGTGCTGCATCTTTGTTTTCGAATAAACAATATTTTATTTATAATCCACTCTCCGTATCTTTGTTCTATAACGCAGTTAGGTTTTTTTTCAAACCAAACATATTAGTTCATACATCATTGTGTTATACATATATAATATTTCATACAAATGTATATGCATCGTTCAAAATGATATATAGATAGATATGTAATATTCTTTTTGTAAAGCTAGGCATGATATACTTCTGTTCTGTTGAAACAGATCAAGCAATATAACCGTTATGCTTATTTATCAAATGTATTTTGTCATTATATATTTATATTTTACCTTGATACTATAAGCGTATCCTGTGCTGGAAACGAGAAGAGGTTGTTTCCGTTGTGAAGCTCCTTCAACCAAGGTGAATGTTTCTGGAGATTTTTCTAAGACAGTTTCATCAGGATTGGTAGGACGAGGTCCCTCTAATATAGGTTGTTGATCATCAGTTATTCGATGCGGCATGTTAAATGAGTCTGTCAGGAGCGCTGAATCATTGTAGACATCAGTGTCATCTTGTTGATCATGGAACCCATCTTGTCTGTCAGAGAAATCAGCGTCATCTTGTTGATCATGTACCTCATCTTGTCTATCAGATAGTTCTATCTCAACTGTTGGGTCAGATTGTGGAAGCGTAGAAGTACAGCCTTTACAGCTAAACAATCATTAAATTTTCAAAAAACTGACTTATTGTTACCTGCTTGTGATTTTAGACCGGTTATAAATAAACTCGTTTCATCTGAATGGAAAGCAAATTGGGACATGCCGTTTTTAATAAACTTCACGATATAAACCCATCTCTTGTTGTGTCACCATCTCTATCTCTGTCAAACCGCCGTGATCAAACAGTTCTTCTTAGATGCCGAATTGGACACTAAAATTACCCATTCTTATCTCCTTACAAATGACAATGCCCCTTTCTGTGTAGGTTGTAATGAAAATGTTACTGTCAAGCATTTTCTTCTTGAATGTAACGATTTTTCACAGGCCCGTAATAGATTTTATTCTGTAAATTCACTCAAAGAACTTTTTAATACAATTCCATCAAAAAACATAATTGATTATTTGAAAGAGATAAACTTTTATTCTAGGATCTAATTGGTTCATTTCTATTGTCATTTACAAAGTTTAACATAACATTTTAGGCCTATTATAGCATTCGGCACGATATGGCCAGTAATGTGTTGGCGTGCCGTAAAAATCCAAACAAACAAACTCTTGTCAACTATCTGAAATTATTTTCGTAAAATTTTCAAAATTATACAGCAGTGCTATTTTGAAAATTCCCAAAATGGCGACGTCGGATGAAAATGCGGCGCAGCGAGATGTCATTGAATACAGTGTTCAGTTCAAGAAGCGTCCAGCATTAACTGACAACATGGAGAACATTATATTTTATCAAGATAATGCACTTTGCCATAGATCTCAGGAGACACAGCTTGAACTTGATGTGATAGGTTTTAAGAGACTTCCATACGCCCTTAGACTTTGCAGTGTTTCCTTATGTGAAATCACAATTACGAGGTCACCCTGAGGTTCGAAAATTTCAGGGTACTAAGCAAGGAAACTCGACGAATGTTGAGAACATTAAAGTAGGACTATTTTGAAAATAGTTATGATAAATGGGTCGCCCGACACCGACAGTGGATCGAGAAACACGGAGAATACTTTGAAAAACATTTTTTTTAAATCTTGTAACGTCATGACGTTTATGACGGCGTGCGCCGGGTATGTATAGGTAGCATTCTTTAAATTTTAATAACTTGGTCATTTTTGGAGGCATTTTATTTTATTTCGCATAGACACACATAAAAGGTGTATTGAATTTTCCCTAGCTTGACGACTCTATTGTTTTATAATTAATTGAGTAACAGACTTTGTCTACGATATTTTGGGACAACCCTCGTAGTTATAGATAGTAGTAGTTGCCATAATAGCTCAATCGGTAGAAGTAGTAGTTGCCATAATAGCTCAATCGGTAGAGTACTACAAGCACAAAATGTTTTTTGACACTAGACTGACAAGCTCTTATATCAAGGTTTGTGTTTTTTTCTCACCATTTAGACCGCCTCCGTGGTCGAGGGGTTAGAGTCGATGACTTCTAATCCAGTTACCTCTCTGGCGTGGGTTCGATCCCCGGGAGATGCTTTGGTAGTTTAGCGCGGAGGAAGGTAGTCTAGTACTGGTGTAACTCTCCAGGAACGATGGTTAGGAAACTACCCGCCTATATGACTGAAATACTGTTAGGAAAAGGCGTAAAATGAAACAAACAAACAAACAAATTCTCACCATTTATAAATAGTAATATGAATGTGATTATTTAAATTTGTTTTATATATTTTTTTGTTTTCGCTTTTTATGATTATTTTACTTTCAAGCAAAATAACTTAAATTTTCAAATTTTTTTTCCATAGAAATGTATTTCAAGATATGCAATAGATAGAATAAATACAACATTTCAAATTTCATCTGCCGTATCTGTTGTTTTTCCGGTTTCTGAGGCTGTGTCGGTTTCATCGTCACTATTATCACTGCTGCTGCTATCGTCGGAAAATGAAATGACAACAGGGTTTAATTCGTTTTGGGTGTTTTCACTTCTCAAATACTCTGCTTCTATCTTTTCCACATGGCTACAGCAATCGGCCTAATGCTCTTTTAATTTGTCGAGGCTAATAAGTTTTCAACATGTTGTCTGAATAGTATTGAAGCAGAGGCAATAAAGAAACTTTTGTTCAGTTATATACATGTATACGTGAAATATCTTATGCACGGGATATTCGAGTTATTGGCTTGTGTTATTACAGTTATTTATTCATATGTGTACATTGTTAAACTGATATTTATGTGTTTTACAGTGAATCTGGAATAAAAAAGTAAAACAGTTCCACGAGGTTTCGAACCCACAAGCAATTTCATTTGCAGACGTGGCTCAACTTACTACGCTATAAAGTGAGTCGAAGTTATAGTCTGATTTTATTGACCTGTCAATTATGAATACATTATAGGGCTCATTTAAATATTCGATCCCACTTCGGTTTGGTCCGTGTAGTTTACGAGAATTAATGTGGAGTATATTAGTCACGCCAGCGTAATGTGAAGGTTTTCTTTAATACACAATAGGTCAGTCGGTAAAGAGAATGCCTGATAATTGAGAAGTCTGTGGTTCGATCCTTACTGTTGCCATTGTTTTAGTACTCTTTCTTTATTTTTGCAGTATATTTTAATGGAACAGATTTGTAGTGTGTTTTACGACATTAAAAGACATTTTTTTATTTTAATCCGTTTTAATTTTAAACATGAATTCTTAAAAACATATTATTTAAAAGGAGTATATACATAACAAAATTAAGTAAAACATAAGCAAACAAAACGAACAACATAAAATAATCATACAATAATGTTGAAAGTATTAATAAGAAAAAAGCATGGACCAACACGGCATCGAACTTAAAACGCGTGTGACACTTAGATTATAAACTCAAGCTTTATCCTGTTGCGCTATAACGTTGTGTACACTTAGTTTAGAGATACAAATCAAATTAAATTCCATCGTACAGCATACATCTCACGGAACTTACCGAACATCTACCGAAGATTAATATATTGTGTGCATCGACCGTGTAATCAGTATGTAATTGACAGGTTAATAAAACCAAACAATATATTATTATCAATCAGTGTGTTCGTAAGGATACCGATTTATTAAGTGATAATTATGATTGACGCATTCATTTAAAATTGATTAGTGACCACCTGTAATTAATTAGAAGCTTAATTATGATATTAAGTAAACACGTTTTTGTTTCAGACTTTTTTAATATTACTTTACAAATAAAATGCATCTAAGTAAACACATTTTTATTAGATCTATATTACTTCTATCGGATATCTATCGAATATGAAAGACACATAAATAACTTTTTTTTAAAACATACTTTACTTTGGCAGAAGTACAATGTATAAGATATTATTATCTCGTTTTTACAGATATAAATGAACAAATACATTTAGAATATTACGGATTAAGTAGAAAAAAATACTTGAACAAAATAAAGGATTATTTGGACATTTTTCTTCATTTTCCGGCCAAAATTCAAGATGGCTGCCAATTTTCACACCTTTTAAATGGTGGTCATTAAATAATTCTTTTATAACAATATAAAAATAGAAAAAAACTCAAATACTATCGAATAACTTCGGAGCAATAAAATATATTTGTAGCAAAGATAATCATTAATAATCAATTTCAAAAAAATAAGAATTTAGTAAGGAAACTAAATATTTTTCGGCAAAAACACAAATTGGCCTCCATCTTTTAGAAACTTTCGAAATCGGAAATAAATTAAAAAGAATCAGAATTTATTAATAAGTGCCCAAAAGCTATATTTTTGAAGAGAATTTCATAGAATCAGTACGAATTAGAGGAAAATATTATTTAATAGAAAAAGGGATTAATTAGTCAAAAGGATATAAAATTTTAGCAAAAAACAAGATGGCCGACATTGACAAACTACCTTCGTGGCAAAAATTAACCGATACACCGCGAAAAAGTGTGAAAAGATAGCTACATTCCGCCAACTTAATGTGGCTGTAGTGATCTCTGCAGTCAGAGGGGTTATAGGTAATCAAAAGGTAGAGGCAATCACAAAAGGATTCATTAAACAAGTAGGCCAAACAAAATAAAAATAGATATGAAACTGGCAAAATTAACAGAGGCATTAAAATTCCAATTTGGGCATGAGGAACTAATAATCTACAGTGAAAACCAAAAAAAGAAAACGACTATAGGCTTAATCAAATATCAGGAAAACGAACCATCAAAATGTCCCAAGCGGATGTGTATGTTAAAAATAAAACAATTAAAGTAATGAAACAATCACATCATAAAAAACATGCAATTGTTTTCTTCAACACGGAAAAAGCACTAAAAGTAATTAATTCAACAGACGGCCACGGCCGGTTATAAGGTGTGAAAAAGAAATTAAAGGAATACTCAATATAACAGATAAAAAGTAATTTCCTTTCTCTAAAAGAAAATTTAATGAAAGATAACAAAGATAGTTCTGATATTCATCTAACAAAAATGAACAAAATGCAGTAATCATATTTAATTCAGAAAAAATGCCTATCAAGGTGGCGGTGCAGGGGGGCACCATACCTGTTTTTCCATGCTACACCACCTTATCTAAATGTACTTATTGTCAAGGGTTCCGACATATTTCTCGCACTTGCATGAATAAAAGCAGCTGTGTTAAATGTGCCGAACATCACATATTCTCAGAAAATTGCACAAATAAACCGAAATGCACGAACTGTAAGGGTCTGCACTGGGCATCCAGAAAACAATGCCCAGAATACTTGATAACAATAAGCAGAATAAACAAAATAAATAATGACCAAGAAAAAGAATACTTAAAGAAATGTTCAAATGAAAATAAATTAACACCAGTTAAAGTAAAAGTCGAAAATATAGATTCATTCATAAACAAATAAGTAAATGAATTAAAAAAAAATAAAAATGAAGAAATCAAAATATAATTGGAAACAAACTTATTACAAGAAAATTCAACAACTAAGCACAATGAAAACACAATCAACATTAAACAAAAAAGCACCGAAAGCAACACAATGACGAATGAAAAGAAAACTTACAATACACAAAGCAACATAGAAATCATTGTGATACAAACAAAAAGGAAACTGAATCTAATACACCAATTTCTCAAACCGAAACTAATAACATGAACATTCAGCAAATAACAATAAATACACTCCAAAGAATATCTCATCAATAAATAAAAATACAAGCAAAAATATACCCCAAAAATAGATAGCGGAAAGAGAGCACCTTATTAGTATGCTCAATCATTACGAACGCCGCATGTTTGTAATGAATGAACATATTAGGTTCCTCTCCCTAAGGGGTAGACGGGGTCCCCATCCCCCAGTATGATTAGGCCTGGACGGTTCTAGGAGCGCGCGGTAATTACATAAAAATATATTATATAGAATAAATTAATATGTTTGATAAAATGGCGGGGAACAATATAAATGACAATCAAAACGCAACTAATCGGGCCTCGGCATTTGATCATGGAATATGAATGGAATGATAACAGATGTAAAATTCAATGAATTACAAAACTATGTAGATAATACCAAATCTCCAATACATATAATTTGCATACAGGAAACTAAACTAATTAAACAATAAACACCCTTTTAACTAAAAGGCTACCAAAAATCAGTATACAGAAATCGTCCGAATGCAACTCATGCTGGAGGCGGGGTATGTATATATGTCAAAAATGACATAACTTTCATTGAAAAGGAAATTTAATATGATGGTGACATAGAATTTATAGCAGTAGAAATAATTGGTAAAAAAGAAACATTTATTATAATTAACTATTATGCTTATAACAATAGTATAAATTCAAATGACAACTTCAAGAAAACTATAAGCAATAATTTCAAAAATACAATAATAGTAGGTGATTTTTATTTAAAGCACCCCTGCTGGAATCCAGAAGATGCAGAGGCCAATGCCTTGCTCGATTTTTTAAATGACTACAATTATAGTTATTTAAATGACGGGCAAGTCACACGATGTAGCACCTGTGATTCTCAGCAAGATTCCGCGATAGATTTATCCAAAGTATCTTCACATCTAGCCGTATTCTCTGAATTTCTACTGATTGATGACACATTGGGCAGTGATCATCTTCCAATTCTAACAAAAAAAAAAACAAAACAAAAAAAATACCACAGAAATGAATAGGGAAAATACTGTACTATTAGAAAAATGGCAAATAGAAAAAGCCTCAGAAACTCAATGAACCGATTTTAGACATCTATGTAGGCAAAAATTAAATTACGAAATAATTGACGGTAACATTAATGAGATATTTCGATCATTCTTAGATAAACTAAATACTTTTTAGGACAAACGATCCCGAAATCAAAAACAAAAACGCTAAAATATAAAACACCTTAAATATGGTGGAACGAAGAATGCACCAATGTTATAAAATTAAGAGACCAAAGAAGACGAAATTACAAAGAAGAAAAAACACCACTGAAGTATGAACTATGGAAAGAGGCCCGTTTAACAGCAAAAAATACTATAAAATTAGCAAAAAGGGAATCATGGGAGAATTTGTGCAGTAAAATTACACATAAAACAAACGGAACATAATTATGGGATTTCGTACGTAAAAATATCTACCGGATTGTAACTCAGAATGAAACTGGATCACTTCGATCCAGAATCCACAAAAAAACAAAGCATGTCGTGGCTTACCCTGCAGGAGAAATTCAAGGGGGTGTCATCAGAAGGGAAGATGAGGCAATTTTACGGAGCTTTAAGATTTCATCGCAGAGTAAGCGCCGCGAAGCACAAAAAAAAAAAATAGAATCGCAGTCCGAACGCAGATAATCGCCCATTTAAACGCCGTGGAAGTCTGCAGCACCGCGATGATCGCCGTGAAGTCTCCATGTAATTAAATATATTTCAT